TAAATCATCTTCAGGCTTTCTTCTAGGGATGTGCAAACAAGACAACAGGATTTCATTTTTAAACTTGCAACCTACGCAAAAGATAGGAAGTTGGTCCTGATTATCCAGCTGTTTGCAATTCTAAAAATGAGTCTCCTTGGTTACCTCTCTCTCACGAGTGAAAAAGAAATATTTAGTATTGCTTATCAATCACATTTTCAAGCACGAAGAGGTGTGGAAAACATTTATTCCTTGATAAAATCTTCCAATTTCTAGAGTAAAATTTTATACTCAATTTATGAAAAAATAATGCTGTACTTACCCAATTTTACAAGAAATAAATAAATTTTATAATGATCCAAACATTTGCTATTAAACTTTAACACATCACACTTTCAAGCAAATTTTCTACCTCTCTTTGGAGGATCCTCTCTCTTCAATACAGGCCTTCTACATCATTACAAATATAACCTATTTATATTAGAGTTGCCTCATACTATTTTTGTGAATTTTAAAAATAATGCTGCTGATTGGATTCTAGGTGCCTGTTATTAAAAATTCTTAAGAGTTAATCTTTATTCTCTCCTTATAAGTTCATAAACTATGAATATGCAGTAAAGAGAGTTGTCATCTGTTGATCATGGTTTTAAGTGTATAGGTTGTGACCTTTTCATTAGTTAAGGCAGTGTTCCTTTTACTGAGTGGTGAGTAGGGTTATGCTTCTCCGAGTATTTGAGTCCCATTGCATTGCCTTTTAAAAATTTAATAATGTTCAGTTGCAGTGGGGTTCTCAATATATTTTTACTGAGTTTTTATGCATTTTGTATAAGAATTCTTAATCATGCTTAGACCCCCTCCAACATCCCTACACCCCCCATACCTGCCCACTGGATTTCATGCATTCTGTCATTTACGTTCAGGTTTATCTGGTCAAACTTTTGTACCCAGATGTTCCTTGGTGCAAGGGTGCAAGTTCATCCACTGGAGTCTAGTCAGCCTATCTAGTGTCACTCTCTTGAAGAAGAAAATCTCTCCCTCACCTAGAAGTAATCAGCTTGGCTAAGGTAGGGGCCTGCTGTCCATTTCCCCAGTTCTATACTGGGATTTTGTATGATTGAGTCAGCACGGGTCTTGTGCATGCTGTCACCATTGTAGCAAGTTCATATGAACAAGTTCTCAGAGGCCTGGAAGACTCTGTTTCCTTATGTCCATACACTAAGCCTGGCTCTTACAATCTTTCTGCCCCCTCTTCCACAATGGTCCCTGAGTCATGGGTGTGTGAGATTTAATATAGGAGTCCTATCCAGGGACATAGATTCTGTAATCTCTTATTCTCTACACCGTAGCTAGTTGTGGTCTTCTATGTGCATCACACACTGTTTCATGAGGAAGATTCACTGGTGAGAGTTGGGAGATGCAATTCTCTTTACACCCTGTTTTGCCATGTACTCTTTAGAACTGTGTTGCTTCTTTTAAACTTGCAATATACTTTTAACATTCAGTTTAAAAACAACAGGAACAAATTTCTTTAGCTTTCCCTGTCAACAACTACAATATTATTCATATCCACCTTTTAGAAGAAAAGGTAATATTCCTTCTAATCTTCAAAGGAATGCTTATCTGCTTATTTCAACATCTCTTCCAATCAAATCCTGGACTTTTGACACCAGCCAAGCAATTATTACTTCAATAAATATTTAACAAATATTACCGATGATTGCTGTGAGCTAGACATTAAGCTAGAAATTATGGATACCAGGATGGAATTCATTCAGCTAGACAAGATAAACTAATATTAACTCTTCAGATATTTTGGTTAAGTTCCAAACTGAGAAGTACTTATAAGGCTACAGAAAAATTATTAACAAGTCAGAGACACTTTTGTGAAGGAGTTGGCATCTGAGTCAAATCTAAATATGTTATATGTCTGATGGGTAAGAACAGGCTGTATTGGTCTTTCCCAAGATGTCTCATCATAAACAATCAACTTGTTTAGCCAAATATTTTCAGTTTTATTTGTGTACATAGCCTGTTTACACAGAACTGATGAGAGAACAGGGAGAACGGGGACATTCTAACTGCTGAGTTAGCCCAGTTTTCTGTAGATTCTCCTTAGAAGAAGCAAGCCATCATGACCATGCAGATGGTGCTTCTGAAATGTCTGTTCATTCCCACGCCTTCACCTTCTTCCTCACATAGGCTCCATTTAGTGTTCTACTATGTGCAGGTGGATAGGAGTCAAGTCCTACCTCTGCCTGACTTTCTATTTTTGGTCATGTATCAAAACACTATTAGCTGCCAAAACCAAAGACCTTCAACTTTCTTCTGAGAAAATAAAAAGAAACTAGGCGCCATGAGTGCTCAGGGGCCCACAGCCCACTTGTTAAAACTTAACAAAAACCAAAACCAGCCTTATCAAAAGACTGCAGGACAGGCAGGCACCGGT